CTCCTACAACTGGGAGAGTTTATACCATGACTAGAATTAAAACTTCTCAAAATAATGATCTAATAGTACATGTTTCATTAAAAGTAAAACTTTGAGGTACATGTCTATGCCTTTACTTGCCTTTGGAAAAGTAACACATAACTATCTAAAAGGACAAGTAAAGAGGGGCATTTGTAGACACCTAATTTTGTTTGATGGCACATAAACAAAGAAATAGACTTTTAGCATGAAGAAGGAGTTCCTGAAGGCCCGAAAACAACATCAGAGCAGGCAAACATGACATTTAGAGGTCCAAAACACAGAGGGCCACAATTAGTAGCCTGGAATGGGTCGTTCCCAAATCGGAATGAGCCATTCCGAGCTTGGAAAAAAGCTTGTGACCTTAGGTTAGAATGTCCCGTTCTGACCTAGCATGTTACATGCAAAATTCAAATCTGGAACGGGTCGTTCCAATTTGGGAACGGGTTGTTCCAATTTCAAATTTGGTATGTAACAGAAAAATCCAGAATATCCGGTTCTAAATTCAGAACGACCCGTTATAGTGGATTTTCGTGCCTGTAAATAGAATGCTTATGAACAATGTTAGCAGTCAGGAAATTTAGTCTTTGAAAGTCCCTCTGGAGTTTAGACATTTCTTTTCTTCTCTTTTTGTATTTCTTAAGATTTGAGAGGTATTTTGAAGTGTGAAAGGAAGTCAAAAAGCGCCTTAGGTTTACTACATTGGAAGTATTTATAAAAGCTCGTTCTAAGAGGTATTTTTCTTCATTATCTATTCTTTCTATTGTAAACAAAACCAATCATGTAGACGTTTTAGGAAAAATCGTATAAATATGTAAATAATCATTAATAAAGGGAACTCAATATTTAAATTATTGTTTTCAATCGTGCTAGTTTCATTATAGGGTATTGATTCAGGGCTTTGTTGGGTGTCTAACACTTTTCCTACACATAATCGACCCCCGAGCCCAAATTCTGGTTGTAAAGGCTGTTTTGGCATTTTAAAACCCTTTTTTTCTTTTTCTGATATTTTGAGCAAACATCGGTAGCGACTCCATGAACTCTTTTCAAAATCATTAGTTGGGAATTAGTCTGGTGTCCCGAAATTCCCTAATTGATGAAATTTTTAAAATGGGAGTCTAAACCATATGTGGTTAAGATCGAAATTTTTCGAGTTCCGACATTTATTTACATTTTTTGGGTGGATGACCACCTTTTCTATAAATGTTACAAAGAGTAGTCTTAAGTCTAAAGTGTGATGTCCTAAATTCAAACCCGAGACCACTTTTGCCAGGAGAAGGTCTTCTATGTTTTAGAAGCATATTCATCTTAAAAGATCCATCTACAAATTTTGCAAGATCATTACTAAGTTGTACATTTTCAGCTTACAACATTGTAACCTCAAGTGGTACATTGCTAGTGATCTTTTTCTTAAGAGTTTGAATCTTTTTGGTAGCATTTGACAAATATCTCTTTAGTTTCTCATTTTCTTCTTGTAAGACTTAAAAATTTTCTTTAAATTTTGTATATTCAAGGGAGACCATCTGAAAGTTTTCCAACAGAGTTTCCTAGAAATCTTTTCCTCATCAGAACTATCAAAAGGACAAGAATCAAAGTCAGAAGTTACCTATAAATTTATATCATCTACGTCTACCATAAGAAAGATGTTGGTTTTCTTATCATCTGAATTGTTGTTACTATTGTTGTCTAGATCTTCCCAGGTGGCCATTAGACTCTTCTTGGCCTTCCTTTTGCTAGTCCATCGCTTTCTAAGCGTAGGATATTCACCCTTCATATGTTAGGGTTTCCTGCACTCATAGCAGATGACTTGTTTATTATCTTCCTAAATAGATTTCTTGTACCTGACCTTCTTTTCGTGGAAGCTCCTTAGTCTTCCCTTCTTATTTAGTGTGTTCTTAAACTTCTTAGACATGAGAAATATCTTATCGAATATGGAGTTTTCAGAACTTTCATCCGAGTTGTTTTGCTCATTCTACCTTTAGAGCTTTACCTTTGTCTCTCATCTTATTGGTTTCACTAGTCTTTAGTGCAACAAAATCATTTTCCTTGATATGATCTTTATTATTCAACTGGACTTCATGAACTCTTAAGGCTCCTAAAAGTTCATCCAGAGTGAGAGTCTTAAGATTGTGTCCTTCTAATATGGGGATGGCCTTTGGTTCTTAGATCTTTGGAAGACTATCCAAGATCTTGAGATAATTCTAAGCTTTGGAAAGTTCAAATCCCAAGGATCTTAACCCATTAAGAATTATGTGGAATCTTCCAAACATTTCATTAATGGTTTTGTTCTCTTTAATAGAGAACAACTCATAGTGCCTCTAAAGGGTAGCAACTCATTTGAGCATAACATCTTCAATACCTTCATGTGTTACCTTGTTAGCTTCCCACATTTCCTTAGCAATCTTGTAGCTAAAGAATTTGTTATATTTTGTTCTGCATAAGGAGCAAGCTAAGATATATCTTTCTTTGGTGTTGAATTGTAGGTAAATACTAACCTTCATCCTTTAGGTAAGGAGTAAGCTAAGAGAAACTCCTTCAAGTAAATACTAACCCTCATTACTTCCCATCTCAAGATCTTTTCCTTTAGCACTGTTTGATCTAAACCTTGTCAAAGCCTGAACCCTGATATCAAGCTGTGGAGAAAAGGTAAACACTAGAAGGGAGTTGATAATGTCAATCAAAAACTCACACTTTTTTCAAAATAATGAAGTAGTAACTTGTGAAGAAGTGCAGACGAAGAGATAAGAAACTAAACACAAAGTATTTTTATATTGGTTCATCTCAACCATCGAGACTACGTTCAATTCTTAATCTAACCAGATCAAGTTCCATTATCTTATGCAAAGATACAAGTATTCTTTTATTACGCCACTTCTCACTTAAACCTAAGTATTTTTTGACTTGTCTCTTCAAGCAACTACTTAAGTATTATTTCAATACAAAGCCTCTTCAGGCTTTAACAACTAAGTATTCTTTTACAGACAAGTTTCTTCAAGCTTTAATAATCGAGTATTTTTTTACTAACAAGCCTTTATAGGCTTAAACCAACAAGTATTCTTTTACAACCAATTTAGTGTAGAGATTTCTTATAGAAAGAAAGAATGAAGAAAGAATATAATTTTTACAATAATTATCTCTTTATTTTTCATTAAGTTGTCATCTCTTTATTTCTAAGCTTCAAGCTTCCTTTTATAGGACTTCAATGAAGATGACTATTACAAATCCTTGAGCATCTCTCACAAGTTTGCTTTGTCTATCTTCATCATTGTTCCTGGTGGAGAGAATTGTTTGTTGGTGCGTTATGCTTTCACCAAATAGTCATTTCTTATCTGATCAAGAAAGCTACTTATGACCTTTTAGTTACCAAAAAGGTAGAGTCATGCATGTGTTAGTTCAAAATAATTTATTCTAAAGATTTATGTGATTCACGAGATTCGCTTGTCTTTTTCTGATGCAAAGCATGTCTTCTTTTTCTTTTTGTCTTTGTAGGTATTGAGGAAGTTGTTTTGCTTTGATCTATTAAGGAATATTATACACAGATTGATTTAGTTATTTGATATCATAAATGATATTAATTCAGAGTAAATGTCTTATAGATGAAAAATTTCGTCTACTAGACACTTATGTCGAGATAACATATCGTCTTAGTGTATTTGTCTTACAAAGAGCATTCGTCTTATTGAATGATTTTGAAAAACTTTTATCAAGTAAAGTATTTATGTTTGTTATCATTAAAATATTATGACTAAGGGATCTACGATCGGTTTTTGACCCAACATTCACTTTCTTTGTTAGAGATCATAAATGATAAATATTTAATGATATCTCTCTTTATAAATAAAGTTTCGTCTTGGTGCAACTTTCATCTTATATGAGAATTCATCTTATAAAAAATTGCATCTGAGTGAGAAGTTGTATCTTATTAAAAGATTCGTCTTAGCCATTTCAAAAAGTTTTCTATTGATCAAAAAACTTTTTTGTTTGTTAACAACAAACCATAAAATCATAAGGATTTAAGATTGTCATTTAACCTAACATTTTTCCTTTAATTTACTTCTATATTATCATTTAATATAAAGTGATACATATCCAAGCTAGAAGGATCAAAATAAGAAAAAATCTTTTAAGGACTAAAACGAAACTTAAATTTTTTTATAAAAACCAAAAAAATATTTTACTCTTTCATGGATATAATAAATAAATAAAATAATAATAATTTTATAATTCTACATGAAAATAATATTTTTTTAAACTTAAATATATTTTTAGTCTTTGTAAATTGAGCACGCTTTGATTTTGATCCATGTAAAATAACAAAAACTTGTATTCCTATATGAAAAAATTTAAAGATGTCATATATTGACATGATATCACTAATAATTATGAGTAATACTTAGAATGTTCACTTAACTTTTTAATATATAAAAAGTAATTAAAAATAATCAAATAATATGAACTAAAAATAATAGTTTAAATTTTATAAGAATAAATAACAAAACAAAAATTATGAAGACCAGAAACAAAACTTGGTAATTTTGTAGGAATTAAAAGAATATTTAAGCTATTTAAAAAATAAAATAAAATTGGGCCCTCTTAACCATATAGATTGGACAATTGCACCTCTAGACTAAGTCTTAGGGCTGGTCTTGCCTAAGATGCATCGAAGCTACTATCAATGTATTTTTGTTTGATTGAAACGCATGTGTATAGTGATGGTTTGCTCCTATAATAAAAATATTGATTTTTTTTATTTCTTTTGTCTCTATTTTTTTATTTCTCTTAAATCAAACAATTAAATTTTTTATTTTATTTTTTATTTATTTTCATTCACTTATTTCTCACTTTATTTCTCACCTACTCTTTTCCTCTATCAAACGGACAAAAAAAAATTGATGTATGAAAATTTATACCATAAATATAGTTAGAAACTCTTATAAAATAAAAACTTTCTTTTTTTAATTCCATAGGCAACAACCCTTGACATTTGCCTATTTATTTATCATCATCATCATCAATCTAAGAAACCTAGCCATCAATTGAGAGCTACAAATGGAGAGTGAAAACAAGACACATAGAGTGCACTGTTTGATCTTGGCATTTCCACACCAAGGACACATAAACCCTATGCTCCAATTCTCCAAGCGTTTGCATCATGAAGGGGTGAGAGCAACACTTGTCACAAGCCACTTCTACTGCAAGACCCTTCCCAAGTTACCATCTTCCATCACTCTTGAGCCCATTTATGATGGCTATGATGATGGTGGGATTGCACAAGCAGAGAGCATCAAGGCCTACTTGGACCGGTTAAGGAAAATTGGGCCACAAACATTTTCACAACTACTTGAGAGGCTCATTGGTTATGGAAACCCAATTGATTGTGTTGTGTATGACTCCTTCATGCCTTGGGCTCTTGATGTTGCCAAGAAACATGGGCTGGCTTGTGCTGCTTTTCTCACCCAACCCCTCTTTGTTAACTGTGTGTACCATCATGTTCACAAGGGGAATTTGAAACTTCCCTTGTCCAATGATCACAGTGTTGTTTCACTGCCAGGGTTGCCTCTTCTTAAACCAAGTGATTTGCCATCTTTTGTGTATCACTATGGCTCACATCCTGCTTCTTTTCAGCTTCTTGTGGGAGACCAGTTCTCCAACATTGAAAAGGCTGATTGGGTTCTTTGCAATACCTTCTATGAGTTGGAGAAAGAGGTAAATCACTTCCTTGGAAAAAAACTTTAAGATCATTTAATGTTTTATATTTTGGGTAATTATGTTAATTAATACAAAGAATTTATCAGTTTTACTGATGACTAATATGGAGAATTTGGCCGGATGCTTTCTTGGCTCTTCTTCCTCTTCTAACTACAATCTTTTTCGTACATTAGTCTCGAACTGAAGACTTTAATTTTTATTTTTGTTTAGGATAAAATACTATTTAAACCCTCAAAAGCGCGTCTCATTGACACTTTAGTCGGTGAGAAAAAATTTTGACATCTTTGAAAGTTATAATCATTCAATTTAAGTTTCTAGAAGCAATTGTTTTTTTTGAGTTAATCATATATATATTCTGTTAGTGTAAAGTTTTTTTACACTGGCAACCAATCATATATTTTAATATATTTTAATAATATTATGTTAGTTACTTATTTAATGAAATAAAAATAAAATAAAATAATTTAAAAGATATAATTGATTGCTAGTGTAAAAAACTTTACACTAACAGTGTATGGATGATTAATTCTTATTTTTTTTCCTATAAACATATTCTATGCATTGTTCTAAAGTTAACAATCAATAATTAATTTACATAATTTTTATTAGTCAAATATTATTTTAATATTATCATTAATTTATTATCTAAGTCACTTTAAAAAAAAATAATAAGTAACATTTTATTCTTTTAAGGATTCTAATGATATATATATATATAAGGATGGATCAGTTTAGTCCAAAAGTAAGTCTATCTAAATTTATTATGTTTAATACCTCATATTTTACTTCAAATTTTAGTAATTTAACCTTTAAATTTAAAGTTCTTAATGCGTATATTAAGTGTACAAATTTTTAAAATATTTGAAAATCATTTAATACTTCATTTCCTCAATCCAAATTGATGGATAATCATAAAATTATTTTATATGTTTATTTAAATTAATAAAACGAAGTATTAAATAATTCTCAAATTTTTTAAATTTATATGTTTATTTTCATCTCTCTCTCTCTCTCTCTCTCTCTCTCTCTCTCT